TTTTTTTTTTTTTTTTTTTTTTTTTTTTTTTTTTTTTTTTTTTTTGTTTTCATTAAAAAATATCAAAGTACGAAGCCTTTCCGTAAGAACACTAATAAACCGACATAATGACAAAAGAGCATTGCACCAGTTGAAAAATCGATCCCCAATAACCCTGTAACCCTCTCTGGGGCGAATAAGTAACGAGGGAAACGAAATAAATCACGCCTCGATTCAGCAACTCTCGGGAATCATTCCAAGACTATGCACGGAAGGGGGATCGCGCGTTGTCAGCGCCGGGCTTAATTACATTCCCTGCCATCTCGCGTATCGAGCGAAAATCGCATGCACATGCATATACGTATACACGCTCGTATAGATATTTACTGCTGCACTGTACACGGGAGGGGCGCGGCCAGGGACGCGATACGTCAAAAGCCCAGCCGGGCAAATTAATCAGCGGAAAGCCTCGACGCGCACATATTTCAACTGTGTGCTCCGTGATGATGAAAACTTTGCGTATATATAATGCATGCTTTGGCAATTAACGCGTTACCATTTACACTTGGACACGCACCGATATTCCTTTTCTTTCAGTATTTTGTATACAGACACGTGCTTTTTGATAACGTTTATTCCGACGGAGTGAACAGACTCGGAGGGACAATGAGCGGTAATTTTTCGCGTGGGAGGGCATCGCGATTACGATCCTCCGGAGGCTGCCTGGAGAGGATGTACTCGAAAGCTCCTGCTACAACGTTTTCAACATTAATAAAGAGGAGGAGGAGGAGGCCTCTCGTCGACGACGGGATCGCGTGCAGTGACGCGCGGTTGAGTCTATTATGCTTAGGGGGTGGGACGACGTATATTGTCTATATACCTGCTCGAATGTGAACGTGTATATATACATACCCCCTTGATGGCTGTACGGGCGAATGGCACAATCGTAATTTCGATCCCTCGTCGTGTATTTTTTATTATATACTAAAAGTTAAAATAAATAACGTCGATGTATAGTCCTCTCTGATTTTTCAACTGCTCGCAATGCGATTCAACGCATGTATTTTTTTTTTCAAATGGTTATAATAAATTCGGCAGATTTCACGGTTTTTTTTTTTAATATAGTAACCGGGGAGTTGTGGTTTTCCTTTTTTGTCCTGCCCATCGTTTTTGCAACGTTATTCCGAAATCGATTATCCGGCCAGCCTCTGCACACGCGGCGTCGCTCGTCCGACGGATTTTCGGAGCAGATAATATTCAGGCGTGATTTATATTCTCCTCGGGCCGTGTACTCGGCTAAATTGAAACTACGGAGGCTCCCCGTCGCAGACGGGGCATTTTTGTTTGCTCTTTGCGATGGAATATTCTCGCTCCGGAATCTTGAGAACGACGTCGTTGTTTGGCACATTAACATGATGTGTATGCATATGAAATGGTATACGTTGTGTACCAAAGGTAGAGAAAACACATGAGAACGCAAGCTTAGCTGAAAAAAAAAAAAAAAAAAAAAAAAAAACAGAAAGACCTTGAGAATTAGGATGCATAAAAAATGTCTAATGCCTGGTATGAACAGAACAATTGGACCGCATCGAGGAGGGAATGGACCAGATCAACGCCGACATGCGCGAGGCCGAGAAAAACTTGACGGGGATGGAAAAGTGCTGCGGACTCTGCGTTCTTCCCTGCAACAAGTATGTCCATGGTGTTCGATCATCCCATCATTTTTTTTACCGAATAACAATATTTTATCAATTTTATATTACCTATACATGATTATAATATTATGTCACGTCTCATTGTGCATCTCGTATCACCGTATTGCATTCATTTATTATCTCTCGGCACTTGATATTCGTAAATTTTTTTACTTTATTCTTCGAGAAGCACTACAAAACATTCGTCGTTGCATCTCGCGCTGGGATTTCAGGATGTTTTGCTAGTAGAAATTACAGCAGACGGTAAAGTTTCTTTTTCCCCGTCTGGGCGTTTTTAATATTTCGCACGAAAAAGTTCCACCCAGACTCGGCTTGACGTTAAAAGCACTTCAGTCCGAACGCTTTTTTTAATTTTAATTCCGCGATGAAAGCTATGAATTTTAAGAAACAATTTCACGAAATCATTTGCATTTTGTTACATCGCATCATGATGTCTACTTTAATTGTAATTAATAAACTTACTTCGAGTATCATCGGTTATGAAATGATTTAATGAATAAGTAAATGCAGTAGGGGAAAAAAAGTAAAAGAAAATTTTGCCGGAAAAAAAAGAGTTTCGTTCCGATACATCTTTGAAAAATTTAGTCCCAACAGCAAGTGTTATTCCCCACTCGATCGCAACATAAATATAAAATAGATTTCCGAGGGGCATTTCTGATGCAGACTTTCTCGCGAATGCCTTTTTAAGGGGAAAGCAATGCATGGATTTTCGGATCGAAGCCCCTCTCTGCCAAGATTTCCGTATTCACCTCGATCTCCTTTGAATATTTACAGCTCGAGCTTGCGTGTGTTTGTATTTTTCATACTTTTTCGATAAAAGTGCTTATTATTCTACGATTCATTCACAGATAGAATTATATTTTTTTTTTTTTTCTCATTAAACTTTTTTATCGTGTAAATAACAGTGAAAAATACACGGTGGTCAATTGGTTTTTCTTTGTTTTTTTTTTTTTTTTTTTCTTCTTTCTTCATCTCAAAATGACAAAGCAAGAAATGATTTCATTTTCTCGCATGAATCACAAAGTCATGTTGAATTTTGTAGAAACTCACCGCACCTTTCGCATAATACAATAATATTTTATGCACAAAATTATATACATATACATGTATAAAAGAAAATTTACTCTGCTCGTATAATGTGATGGACTAATGACTTGTCAAAGTTTGAAGGAGTTGCAGAGCCGCGAGTCGAGCCGCTCAGTGACCAAAGTTATGCCCTTTGAAAAACCACTTGCCCCCAATATCACGTAATTATGAAAAGAAAAGAGCAAAAATCCATGCTCGTATATATGGGTAATATACTTACTTGTAACGAGATAAAGATGATACGTGATGGAAAGCAAAACGAGATAACGAGAGAGCAATGCAGAGCAAAAAACAAGCCACATCATATACATGTATACACAGATCGCTCGACTGTGGGGCTATAAAAGGTGTGTTTGTGTGTGTGCGATGGGGGCGATTTTAAAGGAGCTCGAGCTTCAAGGAGGACGAGGGCACGTGGAAGGGCAACGACGACGGCAAGGTCGTGAACAATCAGCCCCAGCGCGTCATGGACAACGGCATGGTGATGCCGAGCGGCTACATCGGCAAGATAACGAACGACGCACGCGAGAACGAGATGGAGGATAACATGGGCCAGGTCAACACGATGATCGGCAATCTGAGGAACATGGCCATCGACATGGGCAGCGAGCTCGAGAATCAGAATCGCCAGATCGACAGGATCAATCGCAAGGTCAGGCTGATGAAAATTCTCGCTTCTCGATGTTCTTTGCTCATGTTGTATGTGTCCCCCCCCCTCCCCCAAACTCTCAACAGCCCCCACCCCCCACAGTGTCAGATGTTGAGGTTATGTTGTATCTAATCTTATATACCTATACTTGTACGGCCCTCTGTATTAATGTATACTGTTACATATCTGTTGTTATTACTATTATTATTGTTGTTGTGTTGTGTTTTACGCATACATTAGGTATATATAACCATACATACTTCTGTTGCGGGTTTGGCTCATTGTTTTGCGCAACCGATGTTTTTCTCTTTATACGCGCAAGTGTGTGAACGAGGCGTAATATATTGAGCCAAACTCGCGCCGCATCGGAAACGCCGGCATTTTTTTGGTGCCGGCGTGCTCTTTTGCGCTCAACCTTCTGACCTCACACCAGCCCTTGAGTTTTTTTTTTTTTTTTTTTTTTTTTTTCCCAACTAAATATATGTGATAGAAAGAAAAAAAATATTGGTGATGAAACAAAACCAAAGAATACTATTGTTCTGACATGTGTGTACATTTGTTGCGCGCTCAAAGCCCTCAGTGTTGATATATAAATATTATGATACGACCTGGAGGTTTGTGGTATCATTGTTGTTATTATTACGTAGTGTATTAGAATTTAGTTGTTAGACGTAGTTTACACGCGAGTAGCTGAACTCTTTGGAGGTCAATGAAAGAAAAAAAAAAAAAAAAAAAAAAAAAAGACTTTTCAGGCCGTTCAAAGTCATCAAAGCTAACTTGAAGTCAGACTTTGGAAGTTTTGGAAAAGACTTTGTGAATGTTCATTGATACTTCGGAGTGCACGGCCTCTCGGTGTAATTTGTAGATATTAGAAAAGAGTCGAAGGGCAATGTAAATGTCCGCTCGGACAAGCGAAGGCTGCAGCGAAGGAAAATTGATTTTTTTTTTTTTGCAAAAGAAAAGTTATATTACTTTGCTGCTGCTTGTAGCTTTGGCGAGACACTTGCGTTCCCTACGGCTACATAAAATGGTCCGTTTTTAACGTATTGTTGAAAATATATTTGGATGAATAGAGATACGTTAAGGAGGGACGATTTTACCATGCAATGCCGATAACACTGTAAATGTTTTAGTATCGTTGTACCGAACCCAATTTGACGTTGGTATGATCGCAAACTCCACACTCGCGGCTAACTCGAGTGTTTGGATTTGGCGTGCACTTTCAACTCCAATTGGATATCGTAAAGTTTACGTAAAGTATCCTGTAGCTTTTTGTGAAACGATTCCATTGTTCTTTTGACATTTTTGGTAAAAAAAACAAAATCTACATCCACGATGTGACTGCTGTTAAAGTCCCAAACGTAATCCAATGTACATTTGATCGATAATCATTGTTATTGTAGTTGGTTTTCTGTTTGTACGATTAGAATAAGAATCTCAATGGAGAAAACCCGTTTTTTGTATCACTTGATTCATTTGATCGATAAAATATTATGTCTCCAAGTTGTGCGATACGTAAGTATACACGTACATATATTATACATATTATTGTGACAGATGCATGAAATTTATGTGTAGCAACGTACACCGAATGTGTGCGATGAATACGAGCACCGCAAATACTTTGAAAACGAAAAGAAAAAGAAAAAAAAAAAAATAAATAAATAAATATCGCAACACAACCACACCAAAGCATTTACAGTGAAACCGAGAAAACACGAATACACGCCCCGATTGACGAGAAAATCCCCTCGCGTGGATTGGTGACTTTTACAGGGCGAGTCGAACGAGACGAGGATACAGGTGGCGAACGAGCGGGCCCATCAACTCCTCAAATAAATCCCCCCCCGCAGCTGCGGGTTAATTCGGCGGCCGCTTAATGGATCATGCAAGAAGAAGTGGATGAACGGACGGCAAGTACACGCAGCATCATCAACCGTATCGTAAATCATATTACTCGCAGTCGGAGAGCGAAACGAATAATAAACAAACAAAAAAGTAAAATTAAACGAAAATATCATAAAGAGTACTATATAAGAGCTAATAAAATTAATGCGTGGGTGCGCCGAAACTTACCTGTACTCGGGTTCGCGTGCGCGCCACCCTCCGCTACTCAACATCCGCAAAATGTTTCAGCTACAATACTTATTGTTATAACTAGTATAATTATTATTATCATTACTGGAGAGAAAAAAAAAAAGTAATATATTACACAACATTAATTTTCATAAATTGTCGCAAGTTTACCTTGATTATCTTCCTTCTCTACCCAGCCTTTATTTTCAATACTGCTGTTCATGCGGCAAAAAAAAAAGTAAAAATGCCACTTTTATTAACTGTGCGTCGACTTGATATACGTATACGTATGTGCTCGTGCATACATATTATATTTATTAATGAAACAGAAGAAACATTGCGAATTTTCGACCGGCCACCGGATAAGACAAAGGAGCGAATAAACATAAATTTTAAAAAATCTCACCCTCCCCCGCAACACGTGCCGCAAGTATCACTTGAATTGTCTTTACAGCGTTAAATGGTCGTGAAATTGACAACGGGTCGTTTCTTGGTTGCGGTGTGCTTTTGAATGACGGAGTTCTCGGGTACGAAAAATTTAATTTAAACGCAAAGCAAAAAAAGTGAAGAAACGAAAGCTTTGGGGCTGCGCAGCGAGTTCTATGTCGCAGCTTTACCAAGTATTTTTGCGAATATACTTGCTAAGGGCATGTACAAGTGAACATGAAAAAAAAAAAGAAAAAAAAAAATAGATAATAATAATAACGTGTACATAACTTTCGCTGCAGCAGCGTTTCTCTATCCGTAGCCGAGACCTCGTTTAATTTTTTTTTTTACGCGAGGCCTCGATGTCTTAAATATACTTCTCTCTCTCTCCCCTTCTTCCTCTGTCTTGTATATCTGTATGATATTCGTACAAACACGTTCCCATGCACACATACACATATACACACAGAAAGCAACGCTTAAAAGGGTCTTACAGTAGTTAGAGCATTTTCCTTCTCGAGTACAAAGTCGTTTTTTAAATTACAATTTTTACGAAAACGGTGCATGAAAATAATTGGGGGGAAAAAAAAGAAGAAGAAAACAAATAATTAAGGACCTCTCTTTGTCGCACGACATCAACAACAAGTAAACATGGACACAAAGACACAAGTATCTTCCAACGTTTGACGATTTTCTATATATAGAACAGACGCGCATGGCGTTTCGTTGTATTTTTCTTCTCGTGTCTCTATAGTGCATGAAGCTAATAATCAATTATAATGATAAAGCGAAAAAAAAGAAAAAATAAAAAAATAAAAAAAAAAAAATATGAAAAAGGGGGATAAATGAAACTGTAGAAGGAAAAATTGCGGAGAAACGGTGACAAAAACGTTTATACACGTGAACAATGATCATTATACATAATAGTAATAATAATGAAAAATAAAATTAATATACATATATATTTGTAAACGACGGTAATGAGTCGACTCAGTTTTACGTGCCTTTGATCGTTCTCGTTTTTCATTTGTAAGACCCTTGCAGGACCCACGGAGCTAATCAAGCGTAACGAATATAAAAGTCCTTGTACCAAAACACGCCTTTTACGATTGGCTGCTTTTTTTTCTCCCACACAATCACACGATACAAAAAATTGATCTATCATGAGCTGAAGTGAAAGCAAGCTGTGGTTTTTTTCCTCTACTATCCTTAGAATACAATGCAATATATGATGCTGAACCGCATGTCAAAAGGTTCGTTGTGGTTATTTTCTTTTTTCTTTTTTTTTTTCCACGGAATAACGACAAACCTGTACTTTGTCTCGCGTACTTTAGAAATAATCAGAAAACAAAGTCATCTTTAAAAGCACTTGAGTAACAGTTCATTCTCTTGTATTATCATTATTAATGGTAAAAAAAATTTTTTTCTTTTTTATTAAATGTAACAACAAACCTAAATAAAGAAGTAAATATATAATATACGTAGACGTATAGTGAACAAACGAATAGGTAATATGAAGGGAAAGGAGGAAAACACAACGATTTTCATAAGTGCATTGAGATACATAAACATTTGCAAAACGTGTTTTATCAATCGTTCGGCAACGAGAGGCGACGCGAACTGTAAGTATTTTCTTTCCTTTTTTTTTTGTTTCAAAGAAATTTTGCACAATTTAACATTAACACGTTAGGTATATTATACACACGTACTGTCAGGTGATGAACGATAGCGCGTACGATAGAAAAATCATTGTATAATAATTACGACACTAGCTCGCGTAGCAAAAAAAAAAAAAAAAGAAAGAAAGAAAGAAAAAACATACTTATAAGAGGGAACGTCCCGGCCATAAATATTGACATAAAATTGTACAGCTCGAGGATAGTAGAGGAGTGTATAAATATTGTATAAAACACAAAATTATTACGAAATGGAGGAACGTTTCGCGAGGGAGAGAGATAACACCGTCTGCTGCCGAACACAAGGGAGATAAAAAAAATTAAATAAACAGAGGGAGAGAAAGTGTGCACGCGATTAAGAGCAGATATATATATATTTTTTTTTTATTGCCAAGGCATCCGCGAAGTATATCCTTGATTTTTAACGCCGAGGGTGTATCCGAAATTATATTAAATACATTTCGTTGGATTGCGTTTGTTCGGTGGTTTTTCGGGGGGAGGTCGTAAGTCGACGCTTTCGGTAAATACTTGGCGTCCTTCAACAAAAGCCGCACGCAATTCGTATACGCACGAGACGGTCACGGTAAGCTCCGAACTCCGAAAGACGTGCGTATTATACACAAACGAAACTGCGAAACGATACTATTGTAGGAAAAAAATAAAACAATTGCGGGAAGCAAGAGTGTTTTGAAAAAAAAAAATAAAAAAAAAGAAAAAAAAAGAAACAAAACAAATAGAGCCGGTGTAGGAGGGAAACGGCGATGAGAAGGAAAAAACTTGTACATTATTGTATTTACACAGAAAGCTTGTACATGTACTGTAGAGAAAAAAAAAAAGTAAGTAAATAAAATAAACCGTAGAGTCGATGTAGCGACGAGAGAAAAGGAACAGAGGTTGTTGGCGTGTGCGTGATGTACGTGTAAACCATAGTTGAATAATAATTATATACGTGGAAGTCGGCGGCGGCGATGATCATGATAATCAATTGTGTAAGTAGTTTGCCGAGGCGCGGGTGCCTGGAGCGTCGAATTGCAGTTTTGTTTCTTTTCCTCGCCAATGGAGTGTTGACCTATGAAATTGATAAATTTTTTTTATTTGCCGGGAAAAACAGCCATTCCTCTCCTCCATGTCACCAGATGTTTTCATTTTTTCGTTCGCATTCGAGCATCACGCGCGTCAGATAATTATGACGCATCGAGAGATTATGCCCATCTTTTAATACGTTATACCCACGTATCTCTGTTTTAAATAGCCTTTGGTTTTTGTACGCGTATTGTATACAATAGAGGGGGGGGGGACGGAGCGGTGAATCTCGGTGTATATTATTTAGCAATCTATACCGGGAGAAAAGAAATAAGTCGTGCCACGAGGGCGAGGGGGAGATAAACAAAGAGGTGGAGACTTTGTAAATTTTAACGATACGCTCGTTCGTATATATAAAGGTGAGGTTTTTCCCCCTCCCCCGCCCTCCTCCGATGGCTCTAACGCGTTGCGCTCTTGACCTACTGCTCGGGGAGCAACGTCAAGTGTGTCTAATGCAATGTAAGAAAAGAAAACGAAATTCCGTTCGTTCCTGTGTGTCCAACGACAGGATATATCCCGTACACGCATAGTAACGGCGATTCTCACGGTCATCGCCGTTGTCGCCCTCTACTGCACAGTGAACGCGCCAGCTTTTGCTCTTTTGAAAAAAAAAAAAAAAAAAAAAAAATGTTTTTCTTTATCGGGACTTGTAGTATTATACTTATTCATGGCGATGCATTTTTCACGAAAGCGAACGAGCGAGTGCCCGTACATGTATATGGCCTTTGCATGCCTGTACTCTCATATTATATATTACCCATTGGGTATAGGCTTGTGCGTGAGTGCGTATATGCATGTATTGCCGGAGCTTTTCATCGATGCCCTCGGGGGTGGTAGAAAGAACACGTGTAAATTATTCGTACTGGCTGGTGATTATTATATAGTATATTAATTGGTAAACGCGAGGCGAGCTGATGTGCGTACACACGTGTGATTGGTAACGATAGTGTGTGTGGATATGTATTATTATCATCGTGTACGTACACATACGTAAATGTCATGTTTCGTAGTATAGAGATGATTGAAAGGAATAACGATTACTAATATATGTCATACGTACCGGGGTAAATAAATAAACAGTTGATGGCCTCGTTTATACATTACATGCAATATTGAGATCCGATTGTTTTTTTTCTTTTTTTTTTTTTTTTTCTCTTACTTTGCGTGTACGATGTGTGTGCGCTATATGACGTATTGATTTTTTAAATTATTTTTTGCTACACCGTACTCGAAAGTATATTATGTACAATATAGAGGGTAACTACTCGTAGTTGGCGGGATGCTTGTACAAAAGTTTGCTTCATACTTGATGGGATACTTTGTGCGAATAGTGGCGATGAAAGGAGGTAAGCTAGATAATTATTGGAAATTGGATTTGCGCTTTTCAAGTGATTGCTCTTGCGCGCTTTTCATACGATTTAGGTGTAGGGATATTACGATGATGAAACAAAGTGTCCCTCGTCGGTGTGTTTTACAATAATACCACAAAAAAAAAAAATAAAGAAATAAAATATATATACAGACAAGATAACAATATTAACAAAACGTAATCGAGAAGCAATGGATGTCTATATGCGTATAGTTGCAGAGATGAGAAGGTTTTTTTTTTTTTACATACATAATAAGAATGACAAAGTAATCGAGGGGAGAGTTTGTAGAGGAAAAAAATGGTAATCATGTAATGGCTTATCTATACATGTAATTATAACCGCGTACCAAAGTTTGTGATAATCGATGGATGAGCGAATAAATATAAAAAGTTGTTGCAAGTATAATTAGGAAGATGACAATTGGATCCCTGTACGTGCGTCGATGATGCGAAGCAAAGAGATTTCTCGAATCTGCCGTTCACTCGAAGCGACCGCGTCGCTTTACTCAAAGAAAGGCATAATACTTAAGTATACCTTGAATTTTCATATTGCAAATAAAACAAAAGCACCAAACGCGCATGCAATGGATACGCGAGATTTTTTCGAATTTTTCAATCCTCTGTCGTCTTAGAAACTCATCTTTTTTCGTATCTTTATGTCGCGTGCGGTAGTTTGTTCGCTTAATCGCGGATTTCTTCCATTTATTGCTTGTTAATGAAAAAAAAAAATGAATAAAATGAAACAAAAAAAAAAAAAAGATTTAATATTTATTAATTTATAATTAACGGCACGTGATTATTGTTACTGGAAAAAACGAGAGTTGGTAAAAAGAATTGGAAAAAAAAAAAATTTTTGTCTCTTTCATTATATAAATGTCTAGTTACAAAGATCTGCAGATTCGAGGAGTGTTCAAAGAGCGTTAGCTTTTAAAACAGGTAAAAAAAACAAAAAGAAAAAAACATGTAATACACACAGACGCGCGCCGCAAACCGTAAAAAATTGTTAGTGTCGCTGCGAAAAAAAAAAAAAAAAAGATAAAAAACAGTTCCAGAGGGAAGAGACGAAGACAATGAATTTAACGACGTAACGACGCATCGAACGATCGCTAGATCTACGTAGTGAAAAGCTGGGCGCAATGGGAAATACCGACAGTGAACGATAGAAGAAAAAAAAAAAAAAAAATTAACAATCGTCCTCTTCTCTTCTTTCGATCTTTTTCTCGAGTGCACATAGCAAAGAAGGTAAGAAGAGGACGTCAAGGTGGGGGCCATTTCATTTAGGAGAAAAAAAAAAAAATAATATATAAAGTACGCGAGTAGGTATGCAACATTGTAACGAAAATTTAACGCAAGTGTAGACAGAAAGAGACATGGAAAAAAAACAAAAACAAAGAAATACCTTGATTGCTGCAATGATGAAGCAGAAATGAGCGACGGTGAAACAGACAATTGGTTATTGGCTTTCCCTAGATTTCGTCAGCGTCATCTATACATAATTATACAAAATATATATGATATGATATATATACAAACACACACTTATACATACGTATGTTAATAAACTCAGAAATCAAGTTTATGCTAAACAGAGTGAACGAGAGTTCATAAAAGTGAAAAATGAAAAAAAAAAAAACAAACAAACAAACAAACAAACACACGATGAAAAGATGCATAAAGAAGAACAAAACGATCTCGCAGATTCTATACATTGTAAATGCATATGTATTTACTTCTCGAGTAATCTAGAGAATTAAGGATTGTATATTTATGTGCCCTAACAACTAAAGTCTCCAAAAAATTATTATATCATCTTGATTGTTTTACTTTGCGTTTACCTCCCTGTACATTAATATATTACGAGACATGTATTTATCTTTCCTATGTAATGCAAATAAAGTTTGTTTCTTGTTAAATGCCATCGTTCTTTGCTGAAATATTTTATTTCCCGAAATTTTTTCAGGACATTGCGTACTGTAAACAATACAAAAAACCGAGTCAAATATGAAAAAAAAAAAAAAAAAAAAAAAAAAAAAAAAAAAAAAAGACTTTTCAGGCCGTTCAAAGTCATCAAAGCTGGGAGTTGTGGTTTTCCTTTTTTGTCCTGCCCATCGTTTTTGCAACGTTATTCCGAAATCGATTATCCGGCCAGCCTCTGCACACGCGGCGTCGCTCGTCCGACGGATTTTCGGAGCAGATAATATTCAGGCGTGATTTATATTCTCCTCGGGCCGTGTANAAAAGAAAAACGGATGTACGTTTCCAAGCGCGTACTCAACGCCTGAAATTGACGTCCCCGTGTACCGGACAGTCAGCCCGCGTAGCCGCAGGCAAATGGACCGGGCAGCGATTGTGCAGAGGACAGCCGGCATCCAGTGCGTCAGCAGCAGCTCTTGAACAAACAAAAAAAAGGGGGTAGAGGTTTTTTTTTTTTTTTTTTTTCGTTCCCTCGTATGAGTACATATTAAATATTTTACGAGTCAGAACGGAAAGAGGGTCAAAAAAAAATATTGGCTGCAGGAAACGAAGGATATACAAACTGGGTCGGTCGTGGTCTCCTCGAGGGCCGGCGGGGTATCGGGGGTAAGGGCAGCAGGGTGGAGGCCGAGGAGGAGGAGGAGAACGCGTAGTTCGTCGCTCGATTATTCGTGACGACTATCGCCTCGTGAGCATCATTCGTTTTCCTCTTTTTCTTTTTGTTGTCATCAATATTATTATTCTTCGAGCGCGTCCCATTCCAACGTCTGTTCGCTGTATTGTGCTCTATCCTCCCGTTTTTCTGTGCGTAATATACCATTGTTACGTCAATATAATATAGGATTCTCTTCTTTTGTATCATTTTGGGCTCACGACAAACCATTAATTTTCTTATTTTTCAACGAGACTTTTTTTTTTTTTTTTTGGGTTTCGTCGGAGAAAAAAAAATGTTGTCCACCAATTCCCAAAGGTGTCCTTACCCTATACAGACGGCGGAGCTCGACGAGCCTTACCTTCACTGTCGCGGATGCGCCACCCCGGCATCTGCCTTTGCTACTGTCATCGCTGCAGCTGATGGTGCTACCGCTGTCCTCGTCGTCCCCAGCGTCCTCATCTTCATCCTTTTCGTCGTTGCTCTCCTCTTCTTCGCAAAGTTTTTTCGATTTCGTCCTACGGCTAGCATCGACGTCGGGAACCAGGCACTCCTTTTCCTCGTGGCTCTGATGAAATATGATATTTGGGAGAGGATAGGGAGGGTTGTTTGCAGAGGAAGGGTCGGATGGCTGTCCCAACGGGGGGAGGACTGTGTTGACCTTTTTTTTTGTTTTTTTCTTCCAGAAAGCGTCGGAAAATTTTCCATCGACAATCGGTTTGTTTTAAACACCCGACTCGAGCCGTACAACACGTATACATCAGTCCAATAAATCGTACGCGGGTATAAACAAGTTCACCGGGCCGTGGGAGCGTTTGCTCTTGTCTCTGGTAACCGCACGAGCGCGCACTTGTATTATACGTGTATCCATGTACGTAAATGACTAAATAAATAAATAAATACATGAACCCCGCCTCGGCGTCGCCGCGTCTCGTTGACCCAATTTCCCATCTTTTTCCTCGCAATAGTATACATTTATACCCTTATTGCTCTTTCCGGCATCGCAACGTATACGTACACTCTCTTTAATAAACTCTCGCTATCTCTGGGCGAAAGTAAGATCCGCCATCCCAAAAGATCCGAGCCGATCGTACCGATAACCGATCGCGTGGATCAATAGAGGCAGCGCGTCGCATTGTCAACGTATGTACAAACCTTGAATCGGCAAGTCACGGAGTTCTGGGGCTCAGACCCAAAGATCCAACCGGTGGGGCGTCTCCCCATTGTATCGCTCGACAGCGCCGTTTGCAGGAATCTCGAGAGGACCGACAGCGTCAGCTGAAAATCAGCTACGGTTAGAGGACCGCTGTGCACGTGTTTAATTTTTCTTTTTTTTTCATCCGACCTGATAGATAGCCAGTGCGACGAGACAGGCAAATATCTCCCAGCCGGCTTGGTCGGCCATACGGAGCAGCTTGGCGCGACAGCCCTCGGTCGCGATGCTCAGAGTCGCCAGGGCGAAGAGGTTCCGGTGCTCGCAGCTCTGCAGGACCTCGGCCAGGCAGCAGGAATACGGTACGTCCGTCGAAGCTAGGTACACGTAAGCATCCCGGGGGACGAGCCGAGGATCGGCGCGATGTTGACTTTGTAGCAAATGTCGCTGTTGCATTTGGGGCTCGATCGATCTAATAAATGTGGACGGCATTGAAAAGACTCAATGGAAAGGACAAATGGGGGGTGTTTGGGAGCAAACGTTCGGCGAGACTTGACGGATCGAGATTTTGGGAAAGAGGAAAACCCCAGGGATCAGGGGAAACTGTTGTTACTACCAGCTACAGCCGAGGGATTGATTTTTTGTCATTTCACGTGGTTGGAGAAAAAAAAAAAGAAAACGAGAATAGGGTCTCGTGAATGGTTGAGTAAAAGTATAAATATTCCCGAGTGCGAGCAAGTTCGTGCCTCTACTATACTTACGCTCTCACGAGACCATAACTATTTCACGGCTAAATCGAAGGTTGATTCAACACGTGTCCTGTTGTTTACGTTATTTTTCGTTTCTATACAAAGTCTGTTTGTTTCAATGATGGCAAAGCACGTCTCGAACATGCATCGGTACATGTGTAAACTCGAATTATCAGAGCCCATGGGTATTGGGTTATTGAATAGCACGTGAAAAGAAAGGCTCACTCCTCGTTCTCGGGATCGAAGGTCTCCTCGTCTTCGTCGTCATCCTCGCCCCCGCCAAGGTCCGTCTTGGCCCAGGGAACAAAGAACCAGTCGACAAAGGACTCGCTCCCGCAGCAGCTCAGCTCGACTTGTAGCCGGTCCAGCCGAGCCTTGACGTCCCCGTCGTCTCGGTAGTGCCGTACAGCCCGACGCAGACCTTGGCCAAGTCGACGCCGCGTCTGGGCAAAGTAGTACGCACCCCCGGCGCACGCGCCCCCCACCAACCAGCCCGACAGACACGAGAGCACCGCGTGCAGCAACAACAGCCGGCTCACTCTTCTTCTACCACCCACTGATGCATCGTGTGAAACACGCGTTGTTGGACCAATTTTTTTACTTTATTACTTTTTACCTCTGCTCTGGCACGTTCGGCGGGCAAAGTCTTTGACGAGGCTGGGCCAGAGGGCGATGCCCACCAAGTGGCAGGGTAGGGTAAGGAGGGCCGCGAGGCCGAGGGTCCCGGGCAAGAGGTAGCCCTCGGTCGGCAGGGCGAGATCCATGTGGTCGCCGAGGCGTTGTTTGAGCGCGTGAGCCCAGTAGGCGAGTCCGAGGGAGCTGCCCAGACCGAGGAGGCTCAGCCAGAAGATCCAACCGGCCAGGCGTCTAAGGGAACGATGGCTGAATCGAGCTCGCGGGAAGCCCATTTTAACGACAAGCCGTGGTATACGTTTGCTCGCTCTGCCCTGGTGACAACTTTCTTTTTCTCTCTTGCTTCCTTACGACCGAAAGTAATTTTTTACTTTGGACTTTTAATTATTTTTACGAGGTTACCAAAAACAATTGCCTCGCATTGTATTTCGATGCGGTTTTTGAGATGTTTTGGTTATGTCGATTGGAGGAGAGCTTTTTTTCTGTTTTGCCGGAAAATACTTAATTTTAATAATAATTTTTGGGTTATTCAAACATCATCTGCAAATTGGAGATTTTTCAAGGGCACATAGAATGAACTAAACGAATTGTAATTTACGAGTGTATATTGTTATCTTCAAATGCAAAATATAATTGTATTAACATTAGTAAATATTACAATAACCTTTACAATAATGATTCCCGTTTTCTACGTGTTAATATCGTATATCGTTATTCCACGCATATCTCCACCCCATTACAGTGGCACAAAACAAAGTTTCTGCTTTTATCACATTACGACATTACATCGTGGTGCGCGTCATCCTGTTATAAACGCCATCTGCTCCTATCGTTTCCATGCTGTAATCATCTTTGACTCTTTGATTTACTCGCACTTATATGGATTGGTTGATTTATGGCAGTCATTTTGCTATTTTTTTTTTTTTTTTTTTTTTTTTTTTTTTTTTTTTTTTTTTTTTTTTTNTTTTTTTTTTTTTTTTTTTCCCTTTTTTTTGTAAGATGCAAAGTCTCTCCATACTTAATAGCTATTTTTATTTTGTTAGTTTATTCATTTCATGTATAACTTAAATAATCCTCAATACATGTATAACTGCTAAATGAATCATTGCTTATACTGTTAACCTTGTATTTCAGTTCTTGCAGGCTATATGTTTCACAATTATTTATCTATCCGTGTTCATGTTTTTTTTTAAGTCATGATCTTACATTTTAATGCACGAGTTGCAAAGGTTACAGTGCACCTGTAGAATTTTACAAAAATAAATTAATTAAAAAATCTTTTTTTTATCATTACTCATTTGTTGACGCACGTTCGTAAATGTTATTTTTTTCTGCTGTATTTTGGTCTGGGTTATTAAGTTCAAAGGTAAGCACATAAAAAAATTTCCCTTAATGTGAAATTATTACCATTTAAAATGTGACAAATATCAATATCCTGCTGAAGAAATGCAGAGCGAATTTTACATTAATATCTAAAATTTAAAGTTGTTTTTCAACATAACAAAACAGTTAAAATAATCTAGTTATTTATCTAATCTCTATACGCTGTGTGGTATTCCTCATTTTTTGCACTTGACCATCAGTACAGCCATATATAACTGAACGATGCGACATCATCAATCATTTTTTTTATTTTTTTTTATTCGCGATTACGTTTACACGTTCAATCATTTTATAAAAAAAACTTTTAGTCTTATTATCTACTGATTGTTGATATTGGTAAAGCGACAATCAAGGCGTAACGAGCAAACGTCGGTAAACGTTGAAAGTCAATAAAAATATTTTAGATCGACCAAAAAAAATTAAATATGTAAGAGACGATTAAATAGTAGTCACATCTACATTGACTCACACATATTGCGGCACAAGTTGGGGTATAAGTGACAATCAATATCTGACGAAACACTATTGATATTTTTATACGACACACGTAATGTTTGGGTTTGTAAATGTATTATACAATAGCGTCGGTAAAAGAGAAAACATACAAAAGAGTTGATACACGCAACTAACTTTAGTCGGGGCACAGTTCACCGTGTGTTTGCTAATGATGATACCTCAAAAAGGGTACACGGATTACCGTGCGGATTTACAGTTAATTTTTCACACCTGTATGTCATGGTACTTTGTTGAACAGTAAACTAAAAATGCACTTTTTCTTGTGCCCGTCGATTTTGAGGTCGATCTAATTACAGTTTGCAATGCTGCGCAATTTTCCACAACTGTACGACGAAATCTTTTGTTAAATAAAAGTTTAACAACGTTTTCAACATTATTTATCTTATTTTTACTTTTCACAAATTTTTTGCGCAAGTTTTGAATGAGAAAAGTATACTTAATCGCCAATATTTTTGGCAAACCGTTTTTAGCGCCGAAACATTTTTTTTCGTGACTATACGCAAACGGTGCACGTGAAATCACGTTCCTCTAGACAAACCCCGTTATTATACTCGAGTATAATAATCAAAAAAGTTGAAAATAAAAAAAAAAAAAAAAAAAAAAACTAAAAAATAATATAGACAAATACATAGAACTATACGATATGGCTTCTCTTCACTACGATTATGAAAAAAAAAGAGCAACTCATTCTACATGAACATAAAAAATGTAAAACTTTCCTCCGCCGGCTACTGTAAAAATCCCTTTCATCTACTCTTATATACACACGTGTGAATAAAAATCATCTCGACAATCAACTACATATACGTCGTCATTGCAATGGTAAAAAAAAACGGCCCCAATAAACTAACCGGCATTATTAATCATATGCCCGTTCTGATCATATGAGGCTGTCGAGCAACACGGCCTCGTCCGACAGCATCGTGGTGGCATTGACGAAATCGTCGTAGTTGAACATGTCAAAGCAGGAGGCCGGCGAGGATTGGGGCGGTGATATCGGGGGCGGCTGGTGCAAGGCAGACGGGCGCACCAGCGGCGGGGGCATCTCGAGCTTGTCCCTCATCGGTCCGGGGCTGGACTCGTCTCTCAAAGAGCTCGGGTTGCCGGTCGCGCTGTCGTCAAACCAGCCGCAACGCGGATAACCCGCTCTTTGCTCGTCCGCGCTTATGCGCAGGGGCGACAGCGACAATTTGTCCGGCGGCAGCACCAACATCCGCGGCACGAATAACTGCGGCGACGGCTGCTGCGCTGATTGCAGATTATTGTTCCCGCTGTTGTTGTTATTCATCTCGACCTGGAAAACATTTTTTTAAGTCGATTACTTTCATACTTTGCCATTTCCATCGATTGTGTACTGATACTGTAAAAAAAAAAAAAGTGCCACTACAAATACAAAAGTATGTGATTATGAAATAATAATTCGAGACCCTCTAAGGACTGTATTATGCGACATCCTTGTATCATTAACGCGGACTAACGCGCGTCAGAGTATACATTTCATTGATTTTTGATGTACTGAGCTTTTAGCAACAAATTTCAATATCAATAACGTTAGTGTTGATTCGTGAACAAGTGAATAAATGAATCTGCTGCATTTTTCAAGGATGGAAAAAGAGTGTGGGAGTTTGTTGGAGAGACGAGAATGTGAAGTGATGCTGTGTACCTAACGAGGCTGGTTGAGCCCAAGTATATTTTTTTTTTTTATTTCCACACGCGGTTGTCTGCGCAAGCGCTGCTTTTCCGTTAGTGTATACTGTGTATGGGCTGATATACGATGCATACGTGAAAACGAGCCGGGAAGGATACACTTTTTTTTGAGCGAAAGTTCCGCTGAAGAGACCGAGAAGCGAAATATCCATTAATTTTACAATTGCAATTCTTGAGGTGTTTTTTATTCGGGCTTTGGTTCAATCGATCCAGAGAAAAATAAAATCATCAAGTTATGAGAGAATTTTCAGAGAAATTTTACACCAAAGTCTTTTTTGAGATTGTAGGAAAATGAACCGGATCTTTATACGTCAGAGGCCGTACAGATTTTTAGCTTGCTTCGATTGTAATTTTTTTCTTCTCAGCTGTGATGATAAATTTTTTGTTAAAGTGCCGGCCGGCATAGTTCTGTCGGTAGAGTAGCTGAACCTTCGAGGCACGAGTTGCTACTAAAAAATGCACAAAAAGTGTCGTCGCTTATTAAAATTGTTTATTTGGAATTTTCAAATAAAAAGGGTTTAATTTAACAGCAAACAGAGTGGCTGAGTTTTCTTATATCATAAAACAATGTGAAATTAATAAAAAATTTGTATTTCACTAAAATCAGGGTATTGTCATGAATATACATAATTCTTCAATTTTGTAAAAAACGAAAAACATGCGTGTTTTAGGAAAGAGGTAAGAGAGAAAGTGGATATGACGAGAAGAGGATTAAAAATGCAGCAGTAGACATTTATTTATTTTGTAGATAATCCTTTTTTCTTATATCGTGTATTTCAAATCAACGGTTGTTCAACAATTTCATTTACAATAATAATAATAATAATGATGATATAATTTCTAGATATTTACACAATACGCGGCAAACCAAAGCAGCTAGCTGTAGTATGACGCTTAATTAAAATTTTAAAGTCATTATCATAACTCGATTCTTCCCGTCAATAAATTGCTCGATCGCGTTATTCAATATCTCTCGTCTCCGACAGTCTTTATTTTTCGTATTAACACTAATAGTATCATTTAATAACGACAATCAGCTTATCTCGGAGCTCTGCACTATAAGTTCCTACACTATAACTACTGCTGTTACTTATTTCTCTTCGTCTCAATGTACTTTACGCTCGTTGTGCCAAACAAGAACAACAACAACAAATAAGAACAACACATAACACCGATTCGTCATACCAAAGTGTACGCGCTCGTTCATTTGTTAATTTATCTATTTAATTTTTCCTACACGTTTCACTGCACGGAAACTTTATATCGACTAATAATTATACAGTTTTATCCCGTCGTGACCACGTAAACGGTTCTTCTACAGAAAAATAAGCGAGAAACAGCTTTCGGATATAGAGAAACACGGTAACAATTGTATATTACATGCATAAGTCCGATAAAATTAACTCGTACACGTTCACTGGATTGTGAATGAAAAGAAAGAAAAAAAAAAAAAAAAAAAAAGATGAAAGACATCGTTATCACATACACACGAGCAAATACGTAATATGATAACTTGTCGCATGGAACATCGAAATTCACCGTAGTACGTAAAATATACATATATTACACATGATACACGTGGTTTTTACAAACGCGTTCGCTCGTTCGTAACTTCCCAACATCATCGTCAATATATCGGCAGTATCGTAAATAATAGTTACAGAGACACGATTACGTCGTTCCTAGACACTCTGTACGGGTACAATAAAATCTACGTACAGACATATCATGACCTATCGGCGTGCCAGTATCCAGATATCGTCGTGGCTCGTTTTCGTCGTCTGTGCCTTTGCACGCTCATCGAGTGAAAAAATAGACGGAGAACAAAAACTATGACATTACATTACACGTACAGTATTGAATCACTGGCCTCGTTGTTTATTCCCTAAATTATTCTGAACTTTTTAATCTTTTTTATCTTTTTTTTTTTTTTTGTACGTTTGTGCGAGGACATGACCACAGGTATCTGTCGTACGTGGCACGAGAACAAAGACACGATCGTAAAAATCGAGGCGACGAGGTGGCCCTGTACGCGGTATCGTTATCAAAAGCGCGCCCGTCGGAGAGTTCATTTGTTAGCTTGCAAGCCCTTGGAGGATCTCGGATTTTGCTTGGTCAGGCACACGTAGCCCGCACTCACGTCGCAACCGGACACCAATAGATTCATCAAAACGCTGTTGGACTGCTGCTGCGGTGATTTACCGACTCCGTCACTCACGAGTGGACCTCTACGCAGGACATTGACTCCGCCACCTTTGGCATCCACTTGGCGAGGATTGGAATCTACCAATCGTTGGCTCGTACTGCTGCTGCAAGTGGCATCACCACCGCCAATGCCACAGCTGTCGTTGCCGCCACCTTTGTCGTCCAGGCGACGCACATGTGACTCCTCGGAGAAGTTGTTGCTGCGACTGGTGCCGTTGCCTCTGTTGTTGTCGTCCGTGTGGAGTCGATTTCTCGGCTCGCCAACACTTATTTGCTGGCTATCCTGCCAATTTCGATTTTTGGGCACCTGTTGGGAGACCAGCTGCTGCAACAACTGACTGCTCTGCACCGGATCCGACAGCATCCTCTCGAGACTGGATAGGTTACTCCTCGTCGCTTTGCCGCTGTTTAGGTTGCAGCTCGTCACGTTGGGCAGATCAGCGTGTTTCACGCGTTTGTTGCCTACACCCGATTTCGAGGAGTACGAGTGCACGCGCTTGTTCGTGTTCTCGCGCTCGGCAGTGATGTCTTGCGCCGTGGGAGTACCTGCAAGACATTGGGGGAAAAACAATGCGAAACAAAAAAAAAAAAAAAATTTAGGGTTTAGTTGGGGTGGATTGGATTTTGGATCAAACGAGACTCCCGAGACTTACATTGCACGCTGACCTGTCCCAAGACTTGGACCGGATTGACGACCAGGTTTTCATGGACTTTAGTTTGCTTCAAACTCGACTCGTTCGTCAACAGCTGCGCCAAGCTTGAGTTCTCCTCGGCTGCTTCCGATAATCTGCGAAGAAAAGAAGAATATAACCCCAAGTGGATTTTTTTTTTTTTTTTTGCATTGGCTCCAATAAAATTGAAAATGAATCGTTGAAACCCACAGTTTTGGCTTTTTCTGCGTCGTCGAGGCCCCCCACATGACCATGTCGTCGAACATGAGCATCTGCAGGGTCTCGTCTTGATCGCACATCGGTATGTAGGGGGCCCGCATCTCCAGCTCCTCGTCGTACATCATGTCGTTGAAGTTCATCGTCAACAGGCCATCGTCGTCCGACACGTGGGTCTCGCCCTTGACGTAAGAGTTGAGAGACTTTGCGTCTCGGTTGCCGTACGGACTGCCCAGGGAGTCGCCCCCGCCACTGCTCTCTGGACTCTACGAGCATCGGATCGGTTTATTCGAGTTGTTTTGCCATCGGTAACGCGAAAACAATCCCCGTCAATGCATTCCAGCGAGACAAGGCTATCGGCAATCTTACCGGTTAAGCCAAGACGATAATTACCGTCGAATCAACATAATTTATTACGCATCGCAGTACCAGTATATAAAAAAGAAAGAAAAAAAAAACACTCATGCGCTTCCAATGAAAGATACCGATCACCTGTAAGATCCAACACGCGCAAGTCATTGTACAAAATACAAAAAAAAAAAAAAAAAAAAAAAAAAAAAAAAAAAAAAAAAAAAAAAAAAAGAAGAAGTTTATAACAAATGGTCCCTTTGGAGTTCTTACTTTGGAGGAAGTGGGCGAGTGCAGGTCGGTGCCGAGGCTGCACCGACTGGACGAGTCCCTGTAGATGAACGGGTCGCCGTCCGAGGAGTTGGAGTCCTCCGCCTTGAGTCCATCGTCGGTGAGGATCGCCTTGAGGGGATCGACGGCCTCGCCGTTGCAGCTTCCGGTGCAGCTGTTGTTGCTCGCAGTGCTGCCGCGATCGTGGCTGTTGCAGGCGGTCGCGGGATGGTCGGGCGGCTCGTTGGACAACTCGGGACTGAGAAGCGGGCAGTAGTTGCTGCTGAGTATGAACTCGTCGAACATGTCCGTGAGAAAGGGTGGATCCAGCGGGACGCAGACGTCTCCCGGGGTCGGGGCCAAGTGGGTCAAATCATCGGGCTCGTCCTTCAACACTGCAACGGAAGGGGGGTTAACATCGTGCTGTACACCGGACGAGTATATGGTCCATAGTGAGTGGGCGTTACTTGTGAGGCCAGGCTGGTCTTCGCAGAACATGAGGAAGCCCGTGTTCATGTCCTCGGTCCGAGGCGCGAAGATACTGGCGGTCGCTGTCTGGGGCACGGGGCGGCTGAAGGGCGGCTGGTAGACCACCGGGTCCGGGGAGGAGAACGACGGCGGCACGGGACCCGCTGGAGTACGGCGAATGGCCTCGGGCTCGCAGAATGGCACTTTTACCTATACATTTACGGCGATTTGGTGAGACGTTCTTTCAGACGGGTGTGTTACCTATATTTTTGGGACCACGGAGCACGAAAACGCTTTCTTTGACCCTCTATAGTATATCATACGGGCCGATAAGCTCGTTCATTCAACGTCCAAGTACATATCGAGTCAATTTTCAAGTTTCACATGAAGTATAAACGTAGCGTTACATCGTGGTGGGGAAAAACCAAAAAAAGGCCGGAAAACGGAAACCCACCTTGGCGGAGGCCGTCCGATTGTTGTTGTCGTTTTCCTTGTTGGAGTCGGTCTCGGATTTGAGAGTGAGGGGAGAGGGGCTCGACAGTTGGTGGACAGTAGGGGCGCGTTGGAGCAGCGACGCGATGCACGACACCGGGGTCTTCTTTGGCTGGAGGGGCACGAGGGGTTTCGGCGCCTTGTCCTCTGGCACTTCCACCGGCTCCTCCTCCTTTGCCTCCTCTTTGAGCTCGTTCAGCAAGTGCAGGCGGGAGTCGCGCGCCACCACCTGGCGCACGCTGTACACCTCATCCTCGTGCTCGACACCGCTGAAACGAGAACCGAACGCACAACGCTCGACCATTTTCGATTTTTCTTTGCTTTGGGAAGTAGGGGATTTCTTTTTTTTCTTTGTTTCATACAGATGTATACGAGGCCACAAAAAAAAAAAAAAAAAAAAAAAAAATCATTTGTACAGGGAAGTTACACGTTTGACCATCTTTTGTTTGGATTACCTGTACGATTGGCCGCTGCATCGCATACGTAATATACGCATTAAATTTAATGGTCGAGCGATAAACAAGACATCTTTCTCCCGCAACTTATACGTATAGTATACACATACCCCCCGCACCTATACGCGGTCGATTATAAAAATAAAGTCTCGAAGTAGGTATCGCGGACGTTTGGCCAATGTATAAATGTCCGCGCATGTGCGTACAGTTGGGTGTGTGGGTACGTTAGTTGTTAACTAGCTCTTTTGCATATATTTGCGTCAACTAACTTCGTTCGATGTACTTAATGTAATCGAGAGAAGTAAAAAACGCGTGTATACCTGTTACGCGAGGAAAACGCGTTTCATTGCAACTCCTTGATTTAATATGTACCATAAGCAAGAAAAAGTTCGTTCACTCGCTTGATACAGGTATACGTGTTGCGTGCAGCTTGAGTGATAATTTTTTTCATAAAACACATGTATGCATTGAAAGTGGTATGGTAATTTGATTAAAATTCCATCCACGAAAAATAATAAAAATGTAAATAATAGCACCTACCATTTCGTCACCTGAATATATATGAAATAAAAATATGATTGTCTTAGCTTTACATAACATAAATAATGATGGCATTGGTTACAATTGAAAAAAAAAATAATAAAACAGCAGAGTACATATATTTATAAAATTATAGGATAAAAAATAAAAACACAATAAAGGTGTACGATGGTACGTGAAGATAAAAGAACATATTGGTAAGTACATGCATGTATAGATAATTTATAAATAAATAAATAAATAAATATAAGCTGCGTCGTCACTCTTATTATAAACACTATGGGCTGTTTAGTTGCACTCCTCGATACATGTATACGTACATTTTGATTGCTAAAGGAAACCGGGGGTCCATATTCAAATTTTTGGATGAGGCAAGTACATAATATACTCGCATTTGATAGTCACGAGTAATATAAATTTGCATCAAAGATCAATGACCGAACTATCATTACTGTTGTTTTTGATTCATTGACTTTTTCATTGGAGGAACTCGTGTAATTAATACTCTCATGCCTTTTACCACAAGTTTATTGCAAAACAGGAAACGAGAAAAACCAACACCCACATGGTTGTAGCAGGGAATTTGAGGGAGAGTTGACGTGCCTTGAATCGGTGATAGACAGACATCAAGCAACTGAGGGGAAAAACTGGAAATGGAGAATATTTAAAAAATTCGACCAGTTGACATTTATTGTATCCAATGCTCAACCATACACAAGTACGTACGTATACAGTACCTTGTAATTGTACACGGTCAAGCAGGCGTAGCCGTCCGAAAACGCCAATAACCCCTTTCCAGCGACCCTCCCTCACCCTTTTCGAGAACTCGGTCGAAATTTCTGGGATTTATCGTTCTCGTAAAAAGAGACGTAGGGCTTTTCCCCTAAAATCCAAAGGGTCAACTGCTGATGTAGGTATACCTACCATTGGATTTTATTGGAACGGGGATTCTGCCCTCCAGCGAGAAGCAGTAACGTGAGTTTGCAAAAAAAAAAAAAAAAAAAAAAAAATTTACGAGTTGAGTTGAGCCCGAGTTTGGTTGGCCGCTCGAAGCAAGCGACAATGTTACACAAACGTAACAATAATTACGTCAGAGTCACTAACGCGAATAATTAAAGGACACCCAACAAACTCAAGGCTAAAGGGGGACATTCATCATCACCACAACCGGTACCAATGACCATATTACTGTCATATTGCGGACCAAAACATTAAACAAACAATTTTCACACAAAGATATTATTACAATTGACATTTGAAATTGCAATTTACTTAAAAACCTAATAAACGTTTTGTTGCTCCAAGTACCAATCATCACCCAACCACTCAAATCGCCGCGGTCAGTATTAAGATCCTGTAGATCCTGTAATATGACAATATCGTATTAGGTACACGTATATTATCCCCAACCACTTGCGCATATCCCTTTTGCTAACCGCGTCATTGGTATATTACCCCTATATACACCTATATGGACATAAGGTACAGCTGTATGTATATATGTATTATATGGACACATTCATTTGTCTTGGCACTTGTCGGTAGTGCGCAATGATAGGTAGGTATATATTCAAACATCGGGACGAACGGAGCAATGATACAGTTTCAATTGATGCTCAGAATTCACTCTCTTTGGTTCCGATCGCTGTGCACTTAACATCTGCGCTGGGCACAATCTTTAATGCTTTGAAACGAAGGAAATTTAAGAGTTGTCCATTGGTGCGTTTATTTTTTTCCTCTATTAAAATGGACGCGTACGCCACTAAGATTAAATAATCATGAAATCAATGAGTAATGAATAAAAACCACCGCTTATATATAGCACAGGGTGCGGGGGAAAAAAAAGAGCTTGGCATGAGCAGTCTAGTTAGGGTGGTACTTATAAACAAGGTCGCGCGCGAGCGCGCTGATTTCGAATGTAACGCGGAAACGCGAAAGATTTTTCCGTCTCAGTTACATATTTATAGGCGCACAAGTATCCCGCGCTCTACGATATGTGTACGAGTACAATGCGTGGGTATGGGTGCGCGTGTTGTTTAAACAGCTGGTCGGTGACGGAGGTTAGGCCGCGGGTTAAATGTGTAGCGAGGATTCGCTAAAAATAGAGTGACGGCCAGCGCGGGTACTTATACACGTACGGATGTGTATAGGCGTGTGCAGTGTGTACGTGCTTGCGCAATAGTCCGAGTAATACAACCGAGCACGTGGTCGCGGCTACCCCTCCCCCCTGCCTCATATGGTTCGTTCATCTCTTACTTATTTTCATACGGCGACACTTGCTTCGTTCTACACGTGTATAATGTATGTATGGAAACAATTGCCGGACAATTCGAGTCTTTGGGAGTAGGATTTTCAATCAGCAGCGCCAGCCGATCGCGAAGAAAAAGGACCCAAGATCGGTAAGCAGGTGTACGTATACCGATTGACGGACCAGTCGATTTGAGCGAGCGAGCACACTGTACCGCCGCAGGGAGAAAGGTATAAGTATACGAGGTGCTGGTGGTTATATTATTTTTAACCCACAGTTCACTGCCAAACATTACACAAACGTTAATGAACCGTAAGCGTTCGCTCGATCGTATACTTCTTTCGGCCTCGTCGCCATTGTCCATCATCGTCATCATCACCACTCGGCCCCTTTTCCCGTGGGTGTATGTGATATCTGCTTATTGTACACATAATATGTGTGCCCATGTGGGTAAGGAAAAGAATATAAGCGATGGGGTGTACTCATCGACAGCCTGCAGCTCCAAGTAAACAGCTAGTTTTTAGTTTCAAGCTCGAAGCTCCAGGTGTTTTTTTTTTTTTTTTTTTTTTTTTCTGGTGGTTGGCCTAGGGCGACGGGTTTCATTCCCAAAGTATACTTGGCCATCGGGTCAAGAGCAAAAAAATCCGCGATCGGCTGCAGCTGTTTCGAGAACCGCGCGACGATATACGATGTATTCCGTCTCGGCGCTCAAATAAAAATAAACAAAGTGCGCATACCTACAGCGGGCGCTGAAAAAGAGGCCAGCCTGTGGTCGGCGAAAAAATATACAATGATGCTCGGGGAGGGTATGGACCGCGCGCGGAGGGAGGCCAAGACATTCGTACGACGCCCGAGGATGGATTATACATATATACACTGAGCGCTGCAGTGTAACAACATGTATATAATTATAGCCGCGATGGGACTTTGAAACGAGGGGCGGTACATTATTAAAAACAGTGTATGGATTTATCAATGCTGGGGCCGGGATTATTTACGCGGGTATAAAAATGTCCCTTGGTCCAGTAGATAGATATATGTATACATGGTTGCTAATGGAGAACAAAAAAAGGGTATGGAGTTATAATGCGTCGATTGATTGATTGCGTTTATATTTGTGCCAAAAGGTCCGAGCCTTCCATCGGGTCACTGCCAAATACCTTACACACAATGGAAGGAAGACACTGGTAAATCTAATATAGGGGGTGCGACCCGGAAGTTGGATGCCCGTGTACGTGAGTCGAGAGAACTTTTTTTTCATCGAAGGGGAATTTTCCTGACAATTGAGTGATCGGGTAATATCGCATACAGGTATATCAGCGACGTTATAAAAGGGTGATGAACGAATGGGAGAACATTACAGTATTGTTTGACACGCCGTACCTCGCAATGACTGCACGGTAACCGTTTTTTTTAAATGATCGAAAAAATAAATAAACAAAAATACGGGTACAGGTACAGCATCCCTTGGTCCCTCTCATGTAGGGTATACCAGTTTATTAGGGCTACTATTGTTTAAATATTTGTTGTTTCTCGCACGACCACGAGTTTCATAAGCATATAATATATATAGGTAACTATTGGGTGACCATCGCATCACCACGCACGCAAAATACTTTATCGATGCGATCGATATTTATCGGAGCCACGGCCGTACGAACGTGAAGCAGCTTTTTTGTTTCGCATCTTACGCGCGTGACAGTATACACATCTTTCATGATTTTTGACGGTGGATCAATCGATCGATTATTCTGTTGGTCGAACTTCGTTATGACTCTGCATTACGACGCAAGTTTTTAGAAAAATTGTATCAAAGCGTGCTTATTTGTACAGTATTATGCGCTCGGTTTGATTGTGTTGGATAAAAATTTAATATTATTTTTTGAAACAGTAGAAATCACGTATGTGTACAGCAATGGGATACGTATATATATATATATGTACGTCTGTGATAAAAACTTGATCCGTCCAACTTTCACGAAATAGAAACTTCACCGGTGAAAAAAAAAAAAAAAATTAGAGCGTC